AAGACAAGCAAAGATTAGGAACACCGAGGTTCGCATTAATGCAAAGTCACCAACCCAAATCTATGGCTACAACCTTAAAGTGTGCTGCTTAATCTACCACCCAATAGTGCTTGAAACGTTCTCTGTGCCATTTACAGTTTAATGATGGATGCTACACATTGCCTCCCAGTGAGCTCAGTTGGCCAACCTCAGAAGGATGGAAGGCTGAGTTCCTGAACCTTTGTGGTCAGAGTCTGTGCCTGCAATACTGCCGTTTAACCCCTGTGCCCGAGGAGGCTCTCGATGAGAGCCTTACACTCTCAGACCTTAACTGCAGAATGCGGTTCTACAAATTCTGCTCCACTCCTTCCTCTTTCATTCTTCTTTCCTTAATCATGAAGTGGGACAATCTATAATCCTTTCCCAACACCCCGAAAGAGCCCCTAAAGGCTGCCCACCCGCCCTCAAACTTATCTCTCAAAAGCCACATGGGCTAGAAAGTTGTAAATAGGATAGCGGGGTCTCAATCAGGGGCCCCAGAAACAGCAGGATCTCCTGCTCTGGATATTGTTGGGCCGATCGTAAAGGCTCTCACAATGGATAGCTATGACGCCTCTCGAGTGACAGCAAGAACTCGCCCTCTTGTTACTCACAAGCAGGCCAGGTCACCAGTCCATCTGCTTAACTACTTCTTGGGCACCCCCTCCCACGCAATACCAGCCACTCATTCCCAGTTCTCCCAACTTAATGCAAATTTCTTTTTTTAAAAACCGAACAAATTTTTCTGCGTGCTGTCCGAACGTGCACACACCTGCCGAGTCCCGTGGATACAGGAGGAGCGGTTCTGAAAGCTAAATGCAAGGATCCCCCTTTTCATAGGGTCCTGATGCAAACGAAGTATGGAGAGGGGGTGACCGGCCGGGTGGAATTCAATGAGGACGGAGACCGGAAGTACGCCAACTACAGCGTCATGAACCTACAGAACAACAAACTGGTGCAAGTCGGAGTCTACAACGGAAGCCACGTACGTACGATCGGGTCCCGGTAGAGGAAGAGACAGGGTTAAGGTTGTGATCTGCCCTGGGGGCCAGGTCAACGGAGCAGTTGATCAGCCCCCTTCTTCATCTCTGCCTTGCTACAGTTCCTCCCCAATGACCGTAAAATCATCTGGCCCGGAGGGGAAACGGAGACACCGCAAGGATACGAAATGTCCACGAAACTAAAGGTATGGCCTGCCGCGTAAGAACAAGGTAGGCAAGGTTCTTAGCACAGCACAGCCCAAAGTGTTTGTGAGGGTGGGTGTCTCTTGGCCAGCGCCCGTGACGTCAATGACAGGATCTGTATCCAAACCCCAGCATGACTGCTACTGACATTTGCCCACGTTCATGTAAGGGACCTACCTCAGTCCATCCATCTTGCCTGAGCATTGGCTGCCAAGTTACGTCAGCCACCCATGTACCCCCCCTTTCACAGACGGTGGCCCAAACTCCATTGGAGGCAAGCCGGTTCCCTCGTTTTTCTCTTTCTGCAGATCGTTACCATACACCAAGAGCCCTTCGTCTACGTGAAGCCGACCCTGATCGACGGGAAGTGTAAGCCACTCCTCAACAGCACCGGGGGGCTGGTGCAACAGGTCCTCTGCACCGGACCCAACGAGACCATGCCAGGTAAACTCCGCGCCCGAAGGTCACGGGCTCTTTGCTGGGGCCGTCCTGGTTCTGCTGCCTGCGAGGCGGAATCGGGCATTCAGAACGCCGCATTCCAATCCAGCTACCGGAAAGGGGAGCATTTTGCCAACGGTGTGAGAGGCCCAGCCAAAGAGGGCCCCATCCTGATGGCTTGGCTCTAAGCTCTGAAGAGAAGCCTCAGAGCATCCCCCAGCTGTACTGCGGGAGGGACGAGAGAGAACGCTTTTCGATACACGGCACCCGCATTATAGGAGGATCCTTCACCAGGAATGCTCTCTGGCTTCTCCTCTGTTTAGCTTTCATTTTATAGCCAGAATCTGGCCTGCAGGGACCTTACAGAGTGATGATAGGCCAGCTTTCCTGTGACCTTCTGTCCCCCCACCTCCCCCCACCGCAGAGCACTTTTCCTCCTTCTTTCAAATCCTCTTCCTTTCCTCTCTTCCTCTTCTCGTCTTTGCTTTCTCCTAGCTTTCTTGTTCCCTTCACTCTTAAGTAAGTAATGCACTAAGGACCAATGTTTCTGGGCATCAAATCTAACACAAAATCAGCGTTTGATGCTAAAATGAGCAGGGCCCGCTTGCAAGCACCAGCCGCCCCCCATTCTATCTGTCCCTCCTGTGCCATTCTGTAAAGTCTGTGCCACCAAAAGGAGATTTCCCTTGAAGGAAGCGGCCGCCAGACCCAAGGATGGCCTCTTTTACTCAGACTGGCGTGGGTCACCCGGTGCCAACGCTCTTATTTGAACTCCAAACAAATCACCCGAGAAACTGCGTGTTGCCTGTTTGTTCTTCCGTATATACACCGGTAGAGCTGTTGACGGGGCAACAAGGAAAAAAGAGCCATCCACATATATATCAAAATGAAGTTTGCCCTTGTGTATTTTGGGGCATGTACGCGCAGGACCTCTGTGTATTCTGGGCTGGCGGAAGGAGGGGAGTGGTGGCGCTGGGGGGTGGAATCCCCCACGGCCAACCCTTGTGTCATGGAAATCCAGATCCCCGTCACATCATTTTTCTTTGTGAAACACAACTGCGGAACCATAGGGGGAGGAGATCAGATGCTTAGGAAGAAGGACAAGGTTCAGGGCGTGAACGGGCACGGTTCCTCGCCCATGCGGTGTGAAGGGTGGAGCAGGAGGCGAGATTCAAAAACCGATGTTACTGTGCAATTTCCAGCAATGCACAGGAAGGATGATGCTGCGCGCCCTCCCGTTTCCGGCCAAGGCCCCCCCAGGGCTCCACGCCAACACGAGCAAAAAATAAATAAAAAATGAGGCCAAGCAGAAACGAACAAAAAACTTAATGCCACAACCCGGTTGTCTCCCGAATGGAAACACAGACATTAACGGCAAAGTTTTAAAAGCGTGATAATAATAAAGGTGACATGGAGTAAGGCTTGGGTTTTTGTTGGCTGACATCCAGCGAGGCCAAACGGAAAAAGGAATCGGGGTGCATTTTGAGCAAAACCAGCCAGCCGACACTGGGGCCAATGCTGGATCCCCAGAACGATGGGGGAGCTGCTGAGGGTTCGAAAGCTGCCTTCTGAAGCCTTACCGCCCGTCTCCGGTCTCTTTTCCCCTCTTGCAACGGCAGGCCGCCCGAGCGTGATGCTGTGCTGCTACGGCTTCTGCATCGACCTGCTGATCAAGCTTGCCAAAACCATGAATTTCACCTACGAGGTTCATCTGGTGGCTGATGGTAAATTTGGCACCCAAGAGCGGGTAAGTGTGAGCGAGCGGCCGGAGGCGGTAGTTCAAGAACCCAGCTCCACAGCCTTCTAGCTCAGGGTGCAGAGATCATCAGCCGAAGCCTGAGCTTCAGGAATCGAACGTCAGGCCACCTTGCCGCTCTGATCGTCAGAGGACGTTGGCCGGCAGGTTTCCGGTATTCGCTCCGACCTTCATAAAATCTAGCAATCTCCGATGCCGAGGGTATATGTGCCCTTATGCCCTCCTCTGCCTAAAGAAAGCTCAGAGGAGCGCACATAGGGCAAAACCAGACATTATAGACAGGTCCTCGTTAGAAGAGGGAATTCCTTAACTTTTGCATACATCTGATTAACTGTTGAAAAACATAGGAGGGCCACCACGAGGGAGCGGGGGGCTTTCGACACCTCCCACAGTTTTGCAAACTAACACAATTCTGAACGCTCGGCTGCTTTGACCTGACTGCAAATCTGACTGAAGAATCCCGAACGTCTTTTAGAATCAGGTCATCTAGAACCAAGGAGAGTCTACCTGTAAAGCGTAGCTTGGCCCACATCCCACACAGGACAGGGGAACCCTTCCTGGGGTGTGTGTGTGCTGCAGGCATCGGGGAGGGGGGGCCACGGATGGCTGGAGGTCAGCAGCATAGATAGAGGTTTGATTTCAGCAAAGCACCAGAGGGTGGTTTTCCTCTAGACTCTGCTGAGGATGCTAACACCGAGGCTTGCCCCCTACCCCCCTGGCCCTGGTTGACTCTTGGCGCAGGTGAACAACAGCAACAAGAAGGAGTGGAACGGGATGATGGGGGAGCTTCTGAGCGGCCAAGCGGACATGATCGTGGCACCTTTGACCATCAACAACGAGCGGGCGCAATACATCGAGTTCTCCAAGCCTTTTAAGTACCAGGGACTTACCATTCTCGTCAAAAAGGTAACCTACGCGCTCGCGCATGGAGAGTCCCCTAGGGAAAGGGATGCGGGCCACGGAGGGTCCAGAACAGGAAAAAGCATCCGGAATGGGATGAAGCCGTGGGCTGGAAGGCTCATGGCTGGGTGGGAAGTCCGGGCTGCATTGGGGGGGGGATTTTCACTTCTCTGCCTTGATAGGGACCCCCCCTCGTAGAGAGATGGGCGCTCTTGGGCTCGATCCTTCCTCTCCCGTTTGGTTTAGACTAACTTCAGGTTTCTGGGCCGGCATTGAGCAGAGCTTCCGCGTGGCATTCTGCACACCTTCGCCAAATTCGTTACTTGCGCTAGGTTTACCCCCAGGCCTTTCTCCGGCTGTGACGACCTGCTCCCCCTCTTCCTCTCCTTCTGCTCTGTTCCAGGAAATTCCACGTAGCACCCTGGACTCGTTCATGCAGCCGTTCCAGAGCACCCTCTGGCTCTTGGTGGGGCTCTCGGTCCACGTGGTGGCAGTGATGTTATACCTCCTGGACCGTTTCAGGTAGCTCTCCTTTCTGGCATGGGGAGGGAGGGGAGCTATGGGGGAGGTCTGAAACGTCCACTAGAGAAGATTCACACCTGAGTGGCGATGAGGGGGTTAATAAAATGCATTCACCTCCCATTGGGCTTCCCTTCTTCCTTCCTCCTGGTTGGGATGAAGGACAAAAGCTATGCAGAGCCTCAAAGCACTTTCCCTTAGTGGCACGTACGCGCTAGTTCGTCTTCGAGAATACTAGTTTGTCTAGTTTGCTGCAAAAGGGGGTCCCAGGACAATGAGCATGCGCTATGCACGCTTCTCCTAGGGATGAGGGTTTCCCAGAAGGTGCCATTAGAAAATTAAGGAGGTCACAATTCTTGTCTAGCTATAACTTCTGTGATCAAGTGTCTTCCCTATGAGCTTTCTTCATGCTTCTCCTCGGAGAGAGAGGCCTGTAGATGTTCCTCTTCCATTCCTCATGGTCAAACAGCTATCCATAAGATGGCAAAGCTCATAATGTCAACATTTCCCCAGAATTTCCTCAGCTGGCGCCATTGGGCCAGGAGTTCTTGTGGCACCCACGAACGTCAGTATTTCAGCACTCTAGGGCCGGTCCTGCGCCGGCACAGACCCGCAGAAAGAACGGAAGACGTGGCCGGGCGAAGTCGTGACGCGCGGTGTCCTCTCTTTGCAGTCCGTTTGGCCGGTTTAAAGTGAACAGCGAGGAGGAGGAGGAGGATGCTCTGACACTCTCCTCCGCCATGTGGTTTTCCTGGGGGGTCCTCCTGAACTCTGGCATTGGAGAAGGTGAGAGACCCAAGCCGCCTTTAAGGGCTGTGGGGGAGAAACTGGGTTCCCACCCCTGCCCTGGAAGAGCGGCCAACTGGGTGGCAAGGCCATCGCACAGCAGGGCAGCCATCGCTTGCGGGCTCGGGCGTCCATTGCACTTCCTCCCGTCAGCGGGTGCTGACTGTGGAGGGGCATTGATGGGTTTTCCGCTTGTCTCAGTGTCCCTTTTTGGACACGAGAGCTTGGATTTCACTCTGGTGGTCGTGTGTATGTGCGTGAGTGTCTCCCACTTCCATCTGAGGGCTTCCTGACCTTCTCTGCTCCTCTTCCAGGCGCTCCTCGGAGTTTCTCGGCCCGAATCCTCGGCATGGTATGGGCTGGTTTCGCCATGATCATCGTTGCCTCCTACACTGCCAATCTGGCGGCTTTCCTGGTGTTGGACAGACCCGAGGAACGGATCACGGGCATCAACGACCCCCGGGTAACGGCAGCATCCGCGAAGCAGCTGGGTAGGGGCTGCTGACACCTTCGAGATAAAACCCGGAGCGCCGTGTTCTCTTGCAGAAATAGGTCACTTTGCAAAGCACAACGCTGTTGCTCTCCTGCTTCCCATGTTTTACGGCTCACGGCAGAACTACAGAGCCCGGGTCTCCGAAATTAAGATTGCAATCCCGTCATCCCGATTTCAGGGGGGCCTGTTTTGAGTCGCGTCATCTCGCTTGTGTATTTCCAGCTGCGAAACCCGTCAGATAAATTCATCTATGCCACGGTGAAGCAGAGCTCGGTGGACATCTACTTCCGGCGACAGGTGGAGCTGAGCACCATGTACCGGCACATGGAGAAGCACAATTACGAGAGCGCTGCGGAAGCCATCCAGGCTGTCCGAGACAAGTAAGTGATGAGGCTGGCGCCCCGACTGTTTTCACGAAGACCTGGAAAACGTGGGAGATTTCCAGGTGCTGCTGCAGGGAGGGCTGGCTGGACACACAACACACGGCCCCTCTCTGTTTGCTGGAACTAAAGCACCTTCCAGACTGCTGTTCTGGAGAGCTGAGAGAGACTGGGGTGCCCAGTGCTCTAGGGCTGGTCTGCGAGAGGGTTTTGTAAGCTTCTGACAATACATTCTGCTCCGATCTCCCTACCAGGTGGTTTCTCGAAGCACCAACCGTCCCTGTTCCTACCTCTCCTTGCTTTCTTCCCCAACAGTAAGCTCCATGCGTTCATCTGGGACTCGGCCGTGCTGGAGTTCGAAGCATCTCAGAAGTGCGACCTGGTAACCACGGGAGAGCTTTTCTTCCGCTCCGGATTCGGCATCGGGATGCGCAAGGACAGCCCCTGGAAGCAGAACGTCTCCCTGGCCATCCTGAAGTCTGTACCCACCACCACCCCCATCTACCTCCCCACAGCAGTGCCCGAGAGGGACACCACAAAATGCATGGGACAGGGGGGCGTGGGAGGCGGGAGGCGAAAAGGCAAGGGCGTCCTGTCTCCAGAATCAAGGGGGAGACTAAGGAAAGTTTCTAGGCATTTTGGGATGACCCAGGGAAATCGCCTATCAGATCACGGGGCCTTAATTCACATACTAGCAGGGTGGGACATACTATGCATTCCGAGAGGCGTGCGGGTATGTCCCCAGAGAGGAGCTAAAACAAAACAGTTACCATTTCCTCTGAGCAAAGAACAAAACAAAACTAGTCCCCCAAACTAGCACAGAAGAAGAGGCTCTGCCTCCTTGCCAGAAGAATTACCGTATTTTTCTGTGTATAAGACGCCCCCATGTATAAGACACCCCCCACTTTTCTAATCCAAAATTAAGAAATCTAAGTGGGGATTAGCAAGTGTAGGGGGAAAGGGATCAAAGTGTTGCAGAATCGCTTTGATCCCTGCTTTCCCCTCCACTTGCTTTTGTTCTCTTCTCAACTTACTTCCGTTTATAAGACGACCCTCAATTTTTAGTCTAAAGATTTTAGACAAAAGTATAGTCTTATACATGGAAAAATACATTATCTGCTCTCGGAAGAGATGTTCTGTGCTTGACGCTCACCTCCTCCCTCTCTGGAGGCCCATGGAGATCAGCGCGAGATCTCTGAGGGCAAACAGCCCTTTCTCAATCTAAGATGACTGGAAGGCGCCTCAGATGGTCTGTCTGGAGGTGGGTCTTCCTTTGGGACCTGGGAGGTGTTACCGAACCAGATCAGAGCAGCTCTGCCCATCCCCAAGCCCCCCACAAGATCTTGACCTGTTGGGAGACCGAACCCCATAATCCCCTGTGCTTTCTATGCTCTCCTCCAGCCTCCATGAGAATGGCTTCATGGAAGAGCTTGACAAGACGTGGGTGAGATATCAGGAATGTGATTCCCGCAGCAACGCCCCGGCAACCCTCACCTTTGAAAATATGGCAGGTGGGTGCCTTCCCCCTCTGGAGCGGCTGTCCCACGCCCTCCGTAAACCTCCTTTCCAAGGAAACCCCTCCAAAATGACCATGGTCTTGATCCAAACCTGCCTTCCCCTTTTTTCAGATCTGAAAATATTTTATTTTTTAATGTGTATTTTTTATTTTAAAATTTTTAATATTTTTTTTTAAAAATAGTTTTTAAATTAATTTATTTAAAATATTTAA